TTACTTCCACTCTCACTTCCACTCTACTTCTACTTCCCACTTTTACTTCTCACCCCTTCTCCTAGTTCACTCACTTCACACTTTCTACTTCACACCTCACTTTTCTTCTCATACCTTCTACTTCCTACTCCTACTTCCTACATTATGTATTTTTGCACTTCCCACTCTCACTTATTATCTTCCACTTTGACTTCCTAACTTCTAGTTTTTATAATCTTCTTTTCACTTTTACGCCTTGTTGACACTCACACTTTCAACCTTACACTCATAATCGTTAATCAGGTATTTTCATTTAAAAGTAAGAGTGGTGTGTGAGAGTGGAAGTGGGACGTGAAAGTGTGAAATTGGAGTGAAAAGTGAGAGTAGAGTGTGAATGTTAAAAGTAGAAAGTAAAGTGGAATATGGAAAGTCAAAGTCGGAATAGAAAGTGGAATAATATAAGTGGAAGGTGAGAGTGGAATGTGGGAAGTGGGTTGGGTAGTGAGAGTGAAAGTGAAAGTGGAAGTGAGGGAAGTGAGAGTGGGAAGTGGGAGTAGGCAGTGAGAGTGGGAAGCGGAATGTGGGAAGAGAGAGTGGGAGTGGGATAGTTACAGAATCGACCCCCTGTATGTAAAATTGTCCAAAATTGGTATAAATAAACACTTATCGTAACGGTTCTTTATGGTGCCCTTATAGGTCCTTCTTTTACCTGGTAGGTAAAAAAGTAGGTTACATTTTCCCTAATGCGGATTTGTAGGAATGATTTACAAAATCTGTAAATAAAATATACCATCCTAAAAATAAAATTTAATATAGCTTTTTTAAACCCCTTCCTTAGGGATCAATAAGTCATTAAAGAATAGTCATCAACTTGTTTGGGAAAGATTACAACAAAACGGGGTTTCTCTGGTTGGCTTCTTCGGAAAAGTGATGTTCAGATAATTTTATTTTATCGATTTTTGTGAAGTTAACCTAAAATGGTCAAAAAGAAAGTTTTCACACAGATGTTCTTGTCATTTCCGGTCAATTTTTTGAGAAAAGTTAACCTCATAATACAAAAATCAACAAAAACAAAATCGCGCAAGTTTGGTCCTTGCTAAAACCCAGTTTTAAACGGTGCAAAGTAGGGAAATTTCTCCATGGGAACACCCAGTTTTCTAATTGATGTTCAGGTCGTTGCAGGATGCCTTCTTTGAGATAATATTATTCGTCTAATGTTGAGATACTTTCTGGTTGACTTATTATAAAGAAGTTGAACTCAAAATGTAAAATATTTTAACAACAAAGTACCAATGTAATCTTCTATGTAGAAATTTATTCCTGCCAATTCTTAAGGGATTTGACTTCAAACTATGAAAATCATTAACAAAAAAATTAGCTATAAACTATTGCCAAATTTTGCCGGTCTTGTCTTTTTAACAGTTCAATTTTCCTACATCCCTCTGTATGGAATGCGCAAGAATTTTTAACCATGTCTACTGATTCTATGTAAATATGTGAATGTAATATATATGAAAACGTGAGTCGTAGGTACTCTAAATGCAATAAATCAAAGACAGTTTTATAAATGCGTAATTTTGTGTTTTAAGAAATAAATCACATAATTTTATATTAAGGAACAATTGAAAGGAAAAGTGATTCATATTTTTTAATGCATATCTTGCAGAATAGAGAATAAAAATAGCAAAAATATCACTAAAATCAACATGTCAAAAAAACTATTTTAATTTGAAAATCCAAACATTTTGAACACAATTTTTAGAGTAAAACACAAACATTTTCAATTCATTTTGTTTCTCATCTCGCGAATTTTACTGCGAATGCTTGATTTAATAATCTGGTCATCTACGGGTTTCCAGTTCACTCTTTTGGCAAACGAGCGAGAGTATTCTGTAAAAAATTGGTTTAATTTATGAAATTATATTAAATGAAAGTGAAAAGTATTATGCGAAATGTAAAAAGTGGAAGGTGATAAGTGTAATGCGGAAAGTGAAAGTAGAATGCGAAATGTAAAAAGAGCAATGCAGAATGAGAAATGTAGGAAGCGGAATAAGGAAAGTGGAATGTGGAATCTGAAAAAAATGGAATGGAAAATGTGTAAAGTAAATTGCGGAAAGTAAAAAGTAAAATGCGTAATAGTTTTGTGATTGTCACACTTGCTGGAAAAATTTACTAGAAGAGGGACATTTCGATAAGTTGAGGAAATTTACTAAAAACTTCCGGAAATCCTGGTAGTAACTGACATAATAGTGGAAAATAGAATATTTATTTGTAAAAGGAGAAAAGTATAATATTTTATGTGCTTTTGATACTATAGCGAAAAAATAATAAGGGGAAATAAATAAATAAATAAATAAAAATAAATAATAATAAATAAATTATTATTATAATAATAAGGGGGGATAAAGGAAAAGAAGGTGAATTAGATCTAAAAAGGGATCCCTAGATCACATAAGAAACTTACTTAAAATTTTATTAACTGCATCTTGTTTCTGGTCCTTTTCTTCTTTTGACAAACTTTTAGATAATAGAACCTCTTCTTTAATTGTAGAAATTAAAAGAAATCTACATAATATTGCTTGGGAAGTTGATTTTTTCTTTGCATCATTGAAAGCAGTTTTGTCTATGTAAAGGTCACTCTCTGGATATAATTCGACAGCCTAAAATTTGATTTTAATTAATTATGGAACTATTACACTTAAAAAATTTATGGCATAATGGTTTAATAAGAGAGTTCAGTTTTTGTAGTGAATTTTTTATAAATGAATTACAGTACTAGTCTAATTGCGAATTTTAAGAAATTTAAGGTTTTTTAAAGACATTATTTCTTATGTTTTTGAATTTAGAGAGACAAAAAGAGATAGGTATAAAAAACGAGAAGTATGAATAGAGAACAGAGAAGGTTTAACAGAGAATAGCAGAAGGGAAGAAAAAAGTAGAACATTGAAGAGACATAAAAGGAGAGAAAAGAGCGATAGAAGAGAAACAAGAGAAAATTGAAGTTGACAGTGCGAAGGAAGAAAATGCAAGATAGGAGAGAAAAAATGGAATAAAGACCCGTGTAGAAATTAAAAATAGGCTTTAATAAGGCCCTGAATAGATGCCCTTTCGAAAGTGAGACGCAAACTAGGAAAATTCGTCAGGACATGTCTAATTTCGTCACGCTTGGATTATCAGGTGATGATGTGGAAAAATAGACAGGTTCTAACTAGATCGCCTTGTCAGTGCCTGAGTAGAATATCAGAATGTGTGAATTCAACTAGAGGCATTCTAGCCAGGGCCTGATTGAAATATTTAAAAGGGACATAAATAGATCCAGTTAGATTTCCCTATCTGAAAAAGAGGGCATTCTAGTCAGTGCCCGATTATCACCTATCTAGAAATTTCTAGTGTGGTTGACTTTACTAATTCCTCATCAGCGCCCCTTTTCAAGTAAGGCGAAGTAGGGAAATTTCTACACGGGGAATAGTGGAGGAAAGAAAATTAAAAAATGGTGGAAAAAATAAAGAGGACAAAGATAAAAGAGGATAAAGGATAGGAATTGATAAGACTGAAGAAAAAAAATTAAGGTGGAAGGAAATGAACCGAGCAAAAGAAGAAAACAAGCAAATAAAGAAGGTAGAAGAAAAATAAACGAAAAGAAAAAACGAAAAGAGAAATGAAAATATCTATACGCAAGACTTCTTGCTAAATCTATTATGCACTATATTACCTGATCATTTGCAGTCTGCTTTGTAAATAAAAAAATATTTAAGTCTGTGTTATTAACTGCGTTCGGGTCAATATCATCTTCCGTTTCTAAAATGTTATCTTCAGAATGGTTGTCCAAAGTCGGTCTTAAAGAATTAGAAGGTGGTTCTTCAATCGTAGAATGATATTCAGTCAAAGAAGAAAGTTGACCCTCAATAAAAGGACGAAGCTGATTTTCAGTCGTAGGATCATCTTGTTTTTGATTCGAAGAAGATGACTGCCCTTCATTGACAGGTCGTGGCATTTTTTCAGTCGAAGGATCATCTTGTTTTCGATTCGAAGAAGATGTCTGCCCTTCAAAGACAGGTCGTGGCAGATTTTCAGTCGAAGGATCATACTGTATTTGATTCGAAGAAGAAGGTTGTCCATGAATGACGAAAGTCGACGTTTCACCGGTATCAAGATGAATTAGCTCCGAACTTTGATCTGACAGGAAATCTTCTAATGACTGAAACAATTTTTATATTTTAATATTATAACAAAATTAAAATTGTACGTATTATTAATAACTTCAATCTAATAAATTTATAAAAAATTATTGAAAAATTCGTTACAAATTTTGTCAATATTCAAAAATTAAGCAAATGTTGAAAGTTAATTTTAGGTTAGGTACATTTTTATTTCTCGTTAAAAATTTTTTATAATTCTACTTTTGAAGTATACTTATATAAAATGTATAACAATGATATAGTTTATTTATAATTTTAATGTATACTCAAAAACATAAATATAGAATTATCTTGCTATTTAAATTAGTTTTTTTAAATAGCTTCTATATTCCCAGGTAAAAATAATTCTTACGAAATTCGTACGATTTTTTTTACAAATTTTGTTCAGAAATCTGGCCAGATTCGTACAGAATTCCTATCAAATTCGTATGGAATTCCGCACGAAATGAAAGCTAAAAGTTCCTCAAAAGTTTTCGGCTGAAATTCGAGCGAATTACGAACGGATTTATTTTGGAAAATTTTTTATAAAATTCTGCTCGGAAATTCGTACGGAAATTCCGCCGAAAATTTTTGAAGGAATTTTTAGTTGCCATTTCATGCGGAATTTCACACGAATTTCTAAGCAGAAATTTTATAAAAATTTTCCAAAAGAAATCGATTCGTAATTCGTTCGAATATCATGCGAATTTCGTATGGGAATTTCGCCGAAAATTTTTGAACAAATTTTTGGCTTCCATTTCGTGCGGAATTCCATACGAATTTCCCAGCAGAATTTTATAAAAAATTTCCAAAATAAATCCGTTCGTAATTCGCTCAAATTTCACACGAATTTCGTATGGAAATTTCGCTAAAAACTTTTGAGGAAATTTTTAGCTGATATTACGTGCGGAATTCTATACGAATTTCCGAGCAGAATTAAAAAAAATTTTCAAAATAAATTCGTTCGTAATTTGATTGAATTTCCCACGCAGTTCGTAAGGAAATTCGGCCGAAAATTTTTAAGAAATTGTCAATAGAATTTCCGTGTCAATTTCCATACAAAAAAATTTCACATATCCATTAAAATTAACGATAATGTAGAAAAATTGTAATAAATTATTCATTTTTAAATATTTTTTCTATTTAAAACGCTCTGTTTGTAATTAAAGTCTATTTCAATAAGGAAATTCAAACGTTTTGGTAATTTTTTCAAATAAAAAAATTTAAATTAAATATCATCAAGGTTAGGCCAAAATATTTTTTAAATTGTAAATTCTTTGGTAATAAATTTCACTTCCTTAAATTGGACAGTGATAAACTTATTTCTAAGGACTTTAATATTTGGAATATGTGTTTATGTCAATTTTTTTGAAAAATAGATTTATCAACTTTTAAAAATTGCTTAAAATAAAATATAAATAATAAATAAAGTGCTAAATCATTTAGTAAATTATTGAACCATGTAAAAAATTGATCGAACTTGTACTATTTCAGATTTGTAGAGTAGTAAAAATTAATACTTATTACCTTTTTAGCTTTTTCCAAGGTAGGTGTTATATCTTTTGCTAAACGTAAAGCAATATTAATATTGTTTAGTGCATAAGATAATGTAGAGCATTCCAAAGTATCCATATCCAAAGTTTTCAATATCTCCTTTGCACTAGAAATGTTTGCTTCTTTGCGCAGAAGTTTCTGATTTATTTTCTGAAAATCATATTTAATAATTACTTAGAATTTCTTTTATAATCTTATAAAATTCAGTAAAATAAAATTTTTTATCACCTTTCTTATTAGAAATAATGAACTTATGATGAGTATCAACAAAATTTAAAAACAATTTTTAATAATAGAAAAGAATCGTTGAAATAATAAATGGAGATTTGTTTAATTGCAATATCAAAACTAGTAATAATCATAATATTAATAAGAATACCTTCTGAGGATTGTCATCTGACAGTGCTTGATTTTTTTTACAGCTTGTTGTGGATTTTTCGTTTCTTTTTCTTTTTAAACTTCTTGTTGCTTCTTGTAATTTTTGAGTTTTTAATTTTAGCAAATCTGCTTCATTAGCTGAAATAAACAATGAAAACATTTCTTAACTACAAATTTCATGAGTGAACGATTGTGACTTTAACCTTAAAAATTATAGTATATAATTTCAGGGAATTAAATTGAAGTTTGATTTTTAACAGATAAATAATACTTACTTGAGATTCCAACTATTTTCCCAGAATACTTTTTTTTGTGTCGTGCACGCTCTGGCCACAAATAATTGATAGTTGATCCAACCTTTAACTCCACTATTTCATTCTCATCAACAGCAATTGAACTTTTTTCAATTATGGTAAAATAACCATCGCCTTCCAATAAATATTGTTCCATTTTTACCAAGTAATAAAAGACCGAAAAAAGAAATTGGAAAATGTCAACTTTATCTTTGACAACATACAACAAAACACTTGGTTACCTTGGTTTCCTTGGTTACCAATTAAACGTTATGTTAACAACGTTCAAGTGATTACGGATTTTAATTTGAATCTTCTTCAAAGTAAAATTTATTCTCTTTGTTATAAATCAGTGGAAAACTTTTAGACCAACGTGTAAATAATTTATATTGTAAGTATAAGCAACAAATTTATAATTATTAGTTTTTATAAATTTAAATAGTTACATTATTTGAGAATAAAATTTTTGATCATTCTTGTCATAGAGGCCAAATATCATACTACTATTAATTATTATTTTTGATATTATTATTATTATTATTATTTATATTATTATTATTATTATTATATTATTATTATTATTATTATTATTATTATTATTATTATTATTATTATTATTATTATTATTATTATTATTATTATTATTATTATTATTATTAAAAGGAACGAACAAATTTTTTGATTAAAATAAAAGTAAATAAATTAATTAAATTTTAATAAATTTCTTTTTATGGTTATTATTCCTAAATGGAAAAAATAATAAAAATCAAACACTTCTTACTACTTAATTATGTACGAAAATAATTTAGTTCTAATACAAATTTTAGGATAAGAACTCCGGAACTGATTTGCATCCACGTAGACCGTCAAAAATAAGCATGGATGAAAACGAAGATGCGGACTTTATAGACGAAGTAAGTAATTTTATGCTTTATATGTATAATATGTGATTAACAATACAATTTATAATCAATTTTCATTGATTATAAATAATTTTTTTAAAATCTAAATAATTTTTCGCTCCTTGTCGCAATGCAAAATAAACAAGAAGCTACTATTTTCATAAATTCTTAATCACATTCACTCATTAAAAGCGAAGTATCAGCGAAATCAGTAATATTATTTTTAATTCTGAGAGTCCACTCTCACAATAACTCAAAAAATATTATTATTGTTATCAATAATAATAATAATCATTCAAACAACGGGACTTTCTTTATCGACTATGAAGATTCTTGAACAGGGATGCTATTCTGTAATTCACGCTGACTTTTATTTCAGCCTCACTATGTCTCACTCTTATTTAACCCTCATCTCACTCTTATTTCACTCACACTTTCACTAACTCACATTATCCCTCTCATTTCACCCTGACGATAACATCATTTTCACTTTCACTCTCACTTCCCCTCACTATCATTCTCGCTTATCACTTACTTTCTCTCTCAATGTCATTTTAACCTTCAAATGGAGTTAGAAACACTCTTATTTCACAATCACTTTCACTCTCGATTCACCCGCACTTTCAAATCAAATGACTTTCATATCACTCTTATTTTATACCCTCACCCTTACTCTTCCTTTCCTTTCACTCATAATTTCACATACGTTTCAAGTTAACTTTTTCTCTCATTCACACACTAGCTTTAAATAACTTTCACTTATTTCATTTCCTATTCCCCTTACTTTCTTCCTCACTCTCACCTTCAGCCTTACTTTCTACTACTCTCACTCTTAACTTCAAATGGCTTTCACATCACTTTTATTTTACCCTTACTCTCTCACATTCTTATTCTAACTTCAAAATAAATTTTGCTCACTCTTACTTTACCCTCACTTTTACTTAATTCTTACACACACATTCATTCTTATTTCACACGCACTTTAACTCTCGAGTCCCTAAGCTTACTTTCTCACTTTTTCTTCAAATAACTTACACTTACTCTCATTTTTACTTCTCTCTGACTCACACTTTCTCTCTCGCATCACCCAAACTTTAAATGATTTTTTATCTCTATCACTTCACCCTTACTCTTATTTCATTCTCACTTACACTTCCACTCTCGCTTCACCCTTTCATTCACTCTCACTCTCATTCCTCACATACTTTCCCTCTTGATTCCCCAAACTTACTCTGTTACTCTAAATTAAAATAACATACACTTACTCTCAATTTTACTTCACTCTGTCTCACAGTTTTCCTTTCGCATCACATTACTTTCACTTTCACTCAAACTGCAAATGCTATTTGCTCACTATTACTTTACCTAGACTGTCACCTCATTCTCACTCACACTTTCACTTTCGCTGTATCCTTACTTTCACTCTCATTTCACACACTATCACTTTCGATTCTCTAAACATACTCAACAACTTCAAATAATTTACAATTACACTCATTTTTACTTCACACTGACTCACACTTTCCCGATCGCAACACTCTTACTTTATCTTTCACTCACTTCTTTTTCTATTCCCCTTTACTCTCTCCCTCACTCTCACCTTCACCCTTACTTTCTCCTACTCTCACTCTTAATTTCAAATGTCTTTCACATCACTTTTATTTCACCCTTACTCTCTTACATTCTTATTCTAACTTCAAATAAATTTTGCTCACTCTCACTTTACCCTCACTTTTACTTCATTCTTACTCACACATTCACTCTCATTTCACTCACTATAACTCTCGAGTCCCAAAGCTTACGCTCTCACTCTTTCTTCAAATAACTTACACTTACTCTCATTTTTACTTCACTCTGACTCTCACTTTCTCTCCCGCATCACTCAAACTTTAAATGTTTTTTTATCTCTATCACTTCACCCTTACTGTTACTTCATTCTCACTTACACTTCCACTCTCGCTTCACCCTTACATTCACTCTTACTCTCATTACTTACATACTTTTACTCTTGATTTCCCAAACTTACTCTCTCACTCTAAATTCAAGTAACATACATTTACTCTCAATTTTACTTCACTCTGACTCAGCTTCCCTCTCGCTTCACTCTTACTTTCTCTTTCACTCAAACTGCAAATGACATTTGCTCACTATCACTTTACCTAGACTGTTACCTCATTCTCACTTACACTTTCACTCTCGCTTTATCCTTACTTTCCCTCTCACTCTCATTTCACTCGCTATAACTCTCGATTTCTCAAACTTAGTGTCATACTCTATCTTTAAATAACTTACACTTACTCGCATCACTTACTTCCTCTATTACTCAAACTTTAAATGAGTTTGGTTCACTGTTACTTCATTCTCACTTACACTTTCACTCTCGCTTCACCCTAACTTTCACACTCATTTCACATTCACTTTCACTCTTAATTCTCTAAACTTACTCTTTCACTCAAACTTCAAATGACTGTTGCTCACTATCACTTTACCCTCACTTTACCCTTACTTTTCCTTCCCCATAATTCAAATGAGAGTGAGTAAGAAAGTCAGGGTGGTGCTAGAGTAATAGTCTGTAAGTGTGCAGTGAGGGTAAAGTGAAGAATGTGTAAAAAAACGTGGTGTGGTGTGTGAGTGAGTGAGTGAAATTGAGAGTGAAAGTTCTGGCTAAGTAAGAATAATTCTGAACTAAAAACGAGTGAATGTGAAACTAATTAAATATTAAAAGGGTAAAATGTATATGAAAGTAAAGATGAAGTGAGAGAGTGAGTGTTAAGCGAAACTGAGAGTGAAATAAAATTAAGGGTGATGTGGATATGAAAATGAGAGTGTGTGTGAAATGGAAGTGGATTTAGAGTAAAGTGAAGTTACAGAATAGCATCCCAGTATGAACGAACCAAATATTGGCGAGCTAGTGTTGGGGAAATAAAAATCCGATGGTCAGTACCGCAATATAATAGATTTTCTGCTTGGGGGTTTTAACAAAAACATCAACATCAAAATACCAAGATATTTTTAAGTAGAGCAATAGTTATTAAAGAAGCTCCAACTAGCACACAATTATCAACACCCATTGTATTTTGGACAATCAATTTTAAAGTGTAATATTTTTTTGCGTAAAACCAACATAAAATGTTGAAAAATAAAGTGTGTGCTGATGATTGTGTATAAGTTGCAGCTACATTGATTTCTGGGATTACTATATGTCTGTAAACATTTTCTTTTATAGGATCCCGACAATGGCTCTGGTTTCACAGAAGATAGTTGGTCAACAACATCGGATAATTTAGCTGACAATTCTTCGACTGGTCAACTTTCAACCTCATCATTGTCGTTGACATTAAACTCAAGTAATAGAGCTTCTGTAGAAATTGATGATTTGTCAACATCGGATGTCTTAGTTAGTTCTCCTGCTTCGACTAGTATTAATTCACTCTTATTATCACCATCGAGATCCGGCTCAAATAGTAGCGCTGCTTTACAAGAAGCTATTTTGTCTCTTGCTTCGATTGATTCTACCGCTTCGAATAGTCAACCATTATCCGATAACGCAAATGTGTCTATTAGTAATTTTGAATCACTTTCCGGGATGAATGATCTGTCTAATGTTTCTTCAAGTGTATCAATCATTTCTAATACTTTTGCAAATTCTGTTCTTTCGGAATTTGAAATTAGCACCGACGAAGATAAAGAATTTACAAGTGAATGGCTATTTTTACCACTGTATGAAGGAACAGACACGTCAAATGGGGATGTTTTACGCCAAATACTGGATATTCATATTTCCAGTGCAGGAACAAAACAAATTTTGGACAAGACAATACAACTTATTGTATCTACATTGCCACCAGGAGCCAGTAATTTCCCGAAGTCGAGATATTTTGTTTTAAAAATTATAAATCAATTAATGCCTCATTCGTTCTCTGAAACATTCATCAGACACAGGATCTGTGATGTATGTTTTAATTATATAGGTAAATTGGATCTAATCCCACGAAACACAACCTGCAACGTTTGTTCGAACTCCGATTTAAATGGTTTGATTATGCAATTTAGTATCACAACTGCCATACAGGATGCATTCGAAGTCGGGAATCTGAAACGTTTCATAGATGAATATGAAGAAGAGTGCAATTCTCAGCAACTAGATCACATTATTTACGATATAACTTCTGGTCATGAGTTCAAGCATTTGAAAGCCACAGTAATTATGGGGAAGTATGATTTATGTTTAATTTGGAACGCTGACGGGATCCCGACGGATAATGACACTGGACAACTTTGGGCTTTACAAGCGCAAATTGTAAATGTCCACCCAAGGTATAGAAGAAGGTTTCAAATTCTTTCTGCTTTATACTACAGTAACAAGAAGTCCAAGCATAAACCGGAGATGTCATCATTTCTTAAACCATTTGTTGAAGAAACAAGGCAAATGTATGAAAATGGAGTTAATTGGAAAAATAAGGAAACAGGTGAAACTGTAACTAGTAAGG